TTGAGCAGACTGAATATTGTTGTAAAGTGAATCTTGCAGTCGAGCAGAAGGACTATTGCATGCAAAAGAGCAGAGTGAGTTTTAAAGGTAATCAAACAGAATGAGTGTTATGTGGATTCTGAACATTCCAATTTAACCTGCAACGTCACAGTCAGCACCGGACGGATTATGCAAAGCATTCCAGGCACGTGACTATGCTTCATTCATTCATTCATTCATTCATTCTTTTGGCTACCAGCAAAAGAACCAAACCTCAAAAGACATAGAATAAATATAACAACAGGGATTAAAGTGTTCCGTCGCTACGACGGATTTCCGTCAGTTCATAAAGACAGTCATCAGATTCTGAACATTCCAATTTAACCTGCAACGTCACAGTCAGCACCGGACGGATTATGCAAAGCATTCCAGGCACGTGACTATGCTTCATTCATTCATTCATTCATTCATTCTTTTGGCTACCAGCAAAAGAACCAAACCTCAAAAGACATAGAATAAATATAACAACAGGGATTAAAGTGTTCCGTCGCTACGACGGATTTCCGTCAGTTCATAAAGACAGTCATCATTCCTGAATGATTCAGCTGTTCGAACTAATCAGTTGAATGAATGACTCAGTGATAAAATCAGTGACTTACCGCCACCTGCTGGCGGATTTAGTTTCATTTTTAGCGTATAATTTCAGTTATTTAAATCATTTAATATTTCTGTATTCCTTTTTACCTTTGTAATGGCATTATTTTCATCTATGTCAAATTCAAAAATGTATGTTTATAAGCTTCTTAAAATGTCTATTTAAAACAATATAATAAGTAGAATAAGACAAATAAATTACCAATCATATGAAATTAGTACAGAGTACATTAGTACAGAGGTGGCACATAAGAACACAAAAGTGGCTTGTAGGTACATTTTCAGATGTTTAATGAGGCTCAGAGGTAGCATGAGTGCAATTAAATTCATCAATTCATGTGGAGATTAATGTTTTAAATATAAAATTTTGAATACAGAAATATGATTTAAATAACTGAAATTATTAAACTAAATCCGCCAGCAGGTGGCGGCAAGTCCCTAATCTCCTAACCTCCTTCTGGGGAGCCTTTGAAATTAGAAATTAAATTGAAATGCATAATCAGCAGTAAAATGAACTAATAGCCTATTAACAACTGTATAATCTATAACAAGTTATCATCTAAATTTTATAGGGTTAAATTAAAGTATACTGGTTAATACGATTAGTGTTACTACAGTACATCCATGGTAAATGTTTGTAAGGGTGGTGATTTTGGGATTTAATTCTAATTTGATCATTCATGGCACAATCCTGTTTTCTTTGTCAATCTTATTGGGAATATCAAGGCTGCTCATCTGATTTTAAACTAATTATAGTTCGCTTTCACACTGAAAGATCTGCAGCAAGGGGGGAAACAAATTTGAGTTCGATTTAATCGAACCAAACAAGACGAACTTGAAAAAAAAACAAACATTGTAATTGGTCCAGACAAATTTGCAAGTGAACCAGAAATTGTAAACAAAACCACACGTGTGCTAAAGGTCATCCATTCATTGGACAGAAATTCTCAAGCGTACCAGAGATTGTTTGGAACTGGACCGAGACCACCTCTTCAGCTGGGTCTCGGTATGGTTGTTTGATCCGCACCCGAGTGCGATTGCTGTATGAGACACCTGTCCAAAAGATCCGCACCAAGGGGGAAACGAACTTGAGTTAAATTCAATCGAACCAAACAAGACAGGTGTGAATACACCCATAGAGTGATTTGTGACTTGTAACAGATATGTGTGTGTCGAATTTAAAGGGTTAGTTCTTCGATTTAATCGAACCAAACAAGACGAACTTGAAAAAAAAACAAACATTGTATTTGGTCCAGACAAATTTGCAAGTGAACCAGAAATTGTAAACAAAACCACACGTGTGCTAAAGGTCATCCATTCATTGGACAGAAATTCTCAAGCGTACCAGAGATTGTTTGGAACTGGACCGAGAACACCTCTTCAGCTGGGTCTCGGTATGGTTGTTTGATCCGCACCCGAGTGCGATTGCTGTATGAGACACCTGTCCAAAAGATCCGCACCAAGGGGGAAACGAACTTGAGTTCAATTCAATCGAACCAAACAAGACAGGTGTGAATACACCCATAGAGTGATTTGTGACTTGTAACAGATATGTGTGTGTCGAATTTAAAGGGTTAGTTCACCCAAAAATGAAAATTAGCCCATGAATTACTTACCCTCAAGGCATCCTAGGTGTATATGACTTTCTTCTTTCAGACGAATCCAGTCGGAGTTATATAAAAAGATTGACTTTGATCTTCCAAGCTGTTTAATGGCACTCAGAGGGTGTTACAGTTCTTCAGTCCAAAAGAAGTTAAATAAAGTGCATCCATCCATAATAAAAAGTGCCTCACACGGCTCCGGGGGGTGAACAAAGGCCTCCTGTAGCGAATCGATGCATTTCGGTAAGAAAAATAACCATATTCAAAACGTAATATTCCCTTTAATCTAGCTTGCGTTCACTGTTGTACACGGAAGCAACTCTGGGCAGATGACGTATGAGGTCGGCTTTGCGCAAGATGTCAAGGCTATTTACAGATGTTTAATCAAACATGAACTTCCTATGCTATGCTAATAAATTATTCAGCCAGTTTGGTGTAAGCCTACGCTCATATCAATCACTATCTGTAAGCTCCTCTTCTTATGGCGCCCCCCCATAGTCCAAAATATCTTCACAATGGCACAGTTAAAGACAACTTTATAATGTGAACTCACAGTAAAACAAGAGCAGTACATTACTGTGGTGTTAGCATCGTTCTGCTGTTCATTCACAGTCATTTGTAAGAAAATGACCCAGCATGCATTGATTTCACAGCAAATTTATGTCTATAGTAATACATTTTAAAATAATACTCTTGAATCCTGTAAATTCCTTGCACTTTTTTACAGTGTAACCTCAAGCACATCTGTATTTAATAGCGTTTGATCTATTCTGTTCTCATTTTACAGGGAGGTGATTAAATCTGTGCTTTACATTTCTGTGGATGATAATGTAGCGGTTGCCATGGATGCGGAACAAGTGGAGGAGACACATGCACATGCTGTAACATTCTATAAATAGAGGGACAGTAATTAAAGACCTTTAAACGAACCTCTTTAACATCGTGGGGGCATTAACAATTCAAACTGGTGAATGGTGCAATGTGAATTTTGTTGTTGCTGTTTATTTTTGACTAGTTTTATTTGTTCATTGTGAAAGACTGCAGGAGTTTAATCTGTCTTAACTGTCTTTCGCTGGTGAAACACAAACACATACGCTTTGTACACTGCCTGTTCTGTCTTACTATGGGTTTGCACCTATTAATCATTCATTTCTGTAATCAGCCACTGATTGTGAAGTGTTTGTGCTGTTATCTTCTGCTGCTGTGGAATTATAATTATAATTATTTATATTAATTTTAATTAATATTAAAAAATATATATATATTAATAGTATAATTATAATTATAATAATTAATATACATTTTAATTATTTTTTTATTTATTAAAAATATAATACTTGTAAGGGTACAAATACACTTGTAAGAGCTAGTGGTCACAAAGGAAAGTAAATATTTAAAGAGATATTTTTTTGCAAATCTTAATATACTTTTCACATTTTTGTTTCATTAGTTATTTTGGGGTTCGTATTATTATTATGGACTGTTCCATGGTGAATAATTTTTTCCCAAAATGCTAGAGACATCAGGATATCTAGATAGCGATGGGAAGTTCGGATATAATGTAATGTTGGATTTGTTCTTTGTTGTATTATATTTAGGAGTTCTCAAAGTGATTTCCCCATCATGCAGATAAAGTTTAAAGCATTAACCAACTCTTCATTACCACATTTAATGTAATGGAAAAGAACCATCACAGAAATTCACAAATGTATAAATTGAAAGAAAAGCTACAATTTGAGACCAGAAAAGCATCAGGTAACTGTATGAGAAATACATCAATAAATACAGTCATAAAGAAAGAAAGAACGAAAGTGTCAGGGAACTGGAGAGACATGAGGCGAGGACTCAAGATGCAGGAAGTCTGGGCTTTATTAGAAGTAAAATGAACAAAGCAAACAAAAACTACCCTCAGGGGGAAAAACAGTCAGGCAGGCCAGGACACTAGATGAACTCTTTTGGTGCGAGGCCAGCGTGAGAACAGATGGCTTGCTATCAGTGTGTGTGTGTGTGTGCTTGTACATTTCTGTGGGTGAATCTTACAGACATAGAATATATTTTGCATTATATTACACTGGATACATTCAGACAAGAGCCAGCTTTTTAATAAGGTTAATGTCAGTGTGGGGTGGGTATTAACATTTTTGTTTGGGCAAGTTGTTTAACTAAAAAGATGTTCATATTTAACTTGTCTCCATGTTGTTCCAAACCTGCTTTGTTTCATCTGTGGAAAACAAAAAGAGGTATTTTGAAGACTATGGTCGCTCTTTTCATGCAATTAATTTACAGTGAGTGACAATAGTTAATGCATAAGATACTTAAGATTATACACAAACACACACACACGAGTTTCTGCATTTATTAAAGTATGTGTACTTTCCTCAGTATTGTTTGCTGTGAACACATACAGTATAACACTATATATAACGTACATTAAATATATATCATATAATTAATAAGCAAACATTATTTCATAGTAGTATTGTTAAGATTCACAATTTATTATTATTCTTTTTTTAATTGTTCAGATTCTTGTTTTAATTGTGTTTGTTTAATTTGGCTTAGTTTTTGATTTATTTAGTTTCATACTTTTGTTCTGTTTCAGAAAGTGAATAATAAACTGTAACTGCATAACTATAACAAGTACATAGTATGTACATGAGGAACATGACTGTAAAACAAAGTGCTACCATAAATTCTAAGCTTCCCTCCACTTTTTGAAAATGGCTTTTATTGGTTTTGCTGAATTTTCCATCATTTTGATTGTAGAATGGCAGTGGTGAGATGACGGAGGTGGAGCCGGCGTTGGATTTTGCGTCATCAGGTCGATCCGGTCGACGTAATGCTCTGCCTGACATCCTGGGTTCTCCTGCCGGTGTCAATCCCTCGGACCTGCCCCTCAAATTAGCCGAGCTCTCTCTCACAGGTCAGCCAGATTCTCTGAGACACACCCACTCACACTCACACACACACACACACGCACTCACACACACACACACACGCACTCACACACACACACACACGCACTCACACACACACACACACGCACTCACACACACACACACACGCACTCACACACACACACACACGCACTCACACACACACACACACGCACTCACACACACACACACACGCACTCACACACACACACACACGCACTCACACACACACACACACGCACTCACACACACACACACACGCACTCACACACACACACACACGCACTCACACACACACACACACGCACTCACACACACACACACACGCACTCACACACACACACACACGCACTCACACACACACACACACGCACTCACACACACACACACACGCACTCACACACACACACACACGCACTCACACACACACACACACGCACTCACACACACACACACACGCACTCACACACACACACACACGCACTCACACACACACACACACGCACTCACACACACACACACACGCACTCACACACACACACACACGCACTCACACACACACACACACGCACTCACACACACACACACACGCACTCACACACACACACACACGCACTCACACACACACACACACGCACTCACACACACACACACACGCACTCACACACACACACACACGCACTCACACACACACACACACGCACTCACACACACACACACACGCACTCACACACACACACACACGCACTCACACACACACACACACGCACTCACACACACACACACACGCACTCACACACACACACACACGCACTCACACACACACACACACGCACTCACACACACACACACACGCACTCACACACACACACACACGCACTCACACACACACACACACGCACTCACACACACACACACACGCACTCACACACACACACACACGCACTCACACACACACACACACGCACTCACACACACACACACACGCACTCACACACACACACACACGCACTCACACACACACACACACGCACTCACACACACACACACACGCACTCACACACACACACACACGCACTCACACACACACACACACGCACTCACACACACACACACACACTCTCTCTCTCACTCACACACACACACACACACACACACAGATTTGGTGTTCTGTGCGTTAACCTGTCCATTTGCTCTGCAGACGGTCCCGGAGGAGCTCAGTCTCCAACATCACTGGAGGCTCCACTCCCTCCAGAGAGCTCAGAGGAGAAACAGGGATCCTGAAAACTCCTCCTCACCTCCTGTCCAACATCACTAATGGAGAGAGAAAGAAAAGCAAATATAAAGATGACGATACCTCAGGGACAGACTAACATTTGGATTACTGCACATGCAATGGCCCTGTGTCTAATGACACACTTGCGGGTGGACTTGCAGACTCAGCCTGTGTGTCTGTTGTTTCAGTGAGACGAGGGCAGATGTCTCCGATTACTCGGTCATTGTTCAAATGGTGTTGTCTGTCTATGGCCAGTTGAACTCTCATTGCAGACTGGGCAGGTAGGAGTAACATTAAGAGACCAGAAACATCAGAATGTGGCTTTCAAGCCACCAGTGTTGTTATTTTTAACTAAAACTAAAATATTAAATATAAAAAAAAAATTGGTCCCACTTTATACTAGGTGTCTTTAACTACTATGTGCTCATGTCAAAAACAAAACAAAAACACACAAAAATAACTTATGTTAATTTTTGCTTCGTTTTGCATTTAATTGTAGATGAAACTACATAAATTAAATACAGATACAATTACAGGAAGGTATTTTTAAATGCAAGCACAAAACTAAAAACATGTATTGTATCAAATGATTAATTTAAATACATAAAGACACTTAATATACTATAAAGTGGGTCCATCATTTTTGTTAAGTGAATTCAAATGATTAATACATAGTAGGCTATATAAATAATACTGCACTGGAAGCCATTGTCATAAATGATAAAAAAATTAATAAAAGGAATTGTTTCATACATGTGATATTTCAAAATCATTTTATTTCAAATAGACAGGCAAATGAAAGTGGATGGAGTAGCTGTAGCATGTCAAAATGTAAAATGGGCATCAGTCAACTAAGGCATGTCTCAGTGTAGAGCTCTGGTCATTATGATGGACGTGGTCTAGTTTCATGATGTAGGTGAAACGCAAAGTTATCATTTTCATTTCAACTTTATTGATGAACATGAGCAGGCAGTCATTGATGATACATCTGTGCATTTAGCAAGCCATGTGGAGAACAGACACACACAGACACACATCAAGACCAGAGACTAAGAATCTCTGAAGTGAAGGGACGTATAAACCAGAGCTGGGTTTCTCAAAGGCATCGTTAGCATAAGTAGATCATAGAAACCACTGGCACGAATTATCTCTACTATCCACTAATGCAGCCCAGGGGTCTCATTTATGAAAGTTGCGTACGCACAAAATGGGCATAGAAGTATGCGTAAGCAATTTTCTATGCTTTTTGAGAAAAGTTCTGAAGTAAACAACGATTTTAAACTCTGTTTTCAGAGTTTAAAATCTACTTCGATATCATGGCAAACACTGCTGGATTCAGTGGTCGAACGGTTAATTGTCCGGCTTGAATAGGTCCAAAGATAATAGCTTACTGTACAACCACAGCTGCATGTGTTGATGTGGTGTGAAGGCATCTCCACAACATTATGAAAAATGCCACTGTATTTGAAGGATACAGCTTGAAGAAAACTGTAAGATTTGCACGTTTCCTTTTTAAAACATGTTGTCAGTGACGTGCCGAGTCAGACCATTGTATTTGCAATGCAATAAATATAGGCCTGTCTGTTTCCACTAAAGATAGCTAAAAGATGTTCACCTTATCAGCAAAACTGCATAAATGACATTTTATTTGAATTGTTTAAAACAACTGGAATACTATTTGGCCGGTGGAAAAGAATGAGATCAACTCTATTTCTAAAGTTTTTATCTGAGAACTATTTTAAACAGTTTTGTTTTTATGGATATTTTTGATATATTTATTCTAAAACATAACAAGGATACTGGATGATTTTTAGCAATAAAAATTGTGTATGGCACAAATAGTCCGTATTTCATATTCCCTTAATGTCTTTTATCTTTGGCGGTGTTAAACATGGTGTCACGTGGATGGGAATATGCATAGAAATGATATGCAGATGAGGTTATGCATAGTAAAACTAGGTGTTGTAAGCTCCATATATGGTGATTTCAGGGAGGAGTCGGGGTGGAGATGCACCTACTCACAATCTTCCCCTGACTGGGATTTATAAAGGGATTTTGCCCAGATTCTGAGATTATTAGTTAAGAATTAGTCATTAATTAACTCATAATTTATAAAGCATTGACCCTACATTAATAGACATTATTAGTAAGCAGTTTATAAATACAGCTATACATGCTTAAAGGCATAAATAGTCCTCACTTTAGATGAGCTCACAAAAACACTACTAAATGTTTTAGAACTATCTGAATTAATCATGAATTACAGTAGGAATACCTGTTAATAAAGCATTTATTAACACACTATTACTATAAGTCTAAATAAAATGATATATAAATGTACATTTAAATAGTTTATTAATCATTTACTTACACTTTCTAAATGATCTTATGAACCACTGACAACTCCTAAATAACTGGTTTGTAAATAATGCAATACATAATTTAGAATTGATAAATTGATCATTAATAAAGCATGAAAATACTATTATCAAACACATTATAGATATGCTTATAAATCAAAATCAAAGCAGTTATAGCTGTATTTATAAACTGCTTACTAATGTCTATTAATATGGACAATGCTTTATAAATTATGAGTTAATTATGTACTAATGCTTCACTAATGATCCATAGCGTGCAGTTATTATAAAGTGTGTAACCCTGGTCTGTCCTGCTTCATTAATTATCTTTTCGCACATCTGAATATGTGTCATGGCACCTGTGTATTATAAAAGCTTTCTTTTAATCTTAAATATCACAGTTATGGAGTATAATAATCAGAGTGGCATTTTAGACTTTTGAAAGAGGCAGGTTTCCTTTAACAGAGATTTTAAAGTGGTTGAAAGACTTGTGTGAAATATTTGTTTATTGACAGTAAACAGTGATAGTGTGTCATCAGCGTATGTTGAGGGAACTGTCTCAGTCACTGCTGTTGCCGACACATTGTGCATCGCGTCTGAAACACAGCTTTCAGTGTCACATTCTGCCAGTCAGCAGCTTGAGACAGACGTCTGTTCACAGCTATTAGCACATCAACAGACGTGCCTAACAGTCTAGAGACGGCTGCATCACAGACCACAGACGTGACATTACACTCTAAAAAATGCTGGGTTAAATATAACCGAGCGCTGGGTTAAAAAGGGACAAACCCAGCTATTGGGTTGTTTTGACTCAAAACAACCCAACCGCTGGGTCAAAACAACCCAACCGCTGGGTCAAAACAACCCAACCGCTGGGTCAAAACAACCCAACCGCTGGGTCAAAACAACCCAACCGCTGGGTCAAAACAACCCAACCGCTGGGTCAAAACAACCCAACCGCTGGGTCAAAACAACCCAACCGCTGGGTCAAAACAACCCAACCGCTGGGTCAAAACAACCCAACCGCTGGGTCAAAACAACCCAACCGCTGGGTCAAAACAACCCAACCGCTGGGTCAAAACAACCCAACCGCTGGGTCAAAACAACCCAACCGCTGGGTCAAAACAACCCAACCGCTGGGTCAAAACAACCCAACCGCTGGGTCAAAACAACCCAACCGCTGGGTCAAAACAACCCAACCGCTGGGTCAAAACAACCCAACCGCTGGGTCAAAACAACCCAACCGCTGGGTCAAAACAACCCAACCGCTGGGTCAAAACAACCCAACCGCTGGGTCAAAACAACCCAACCGCTGGGTCAAAACAACCCAACCGCTGGGTCAAAACAACCCAACCGCTGGGTCAAAACAACCCAACCGCTGGGTCAAAACAACCCAACCGCTGGGTCAAAACAACCCAACCGCTGGGTCAAAACAACCCAACCGCTGGGTCAAAACAACCCAACCGCTGGGTCAAAACAACCCAACCGCTGGGTCAAAACAACCCAATAGCTGGGTTTGTCCCTTTTTAACCCAGCGCTGGGTTATATTTAACCCAGTATTTTTTAGAGTGTACAAACGGGACGAGCCGTGACTGATCAGCTTGAGCTTTGTACGTAGTGTAATTAGGGTAGGATGAGGATTATTTGAATTTATTTATACATTTGGGAGATTAAATGTCCTAACATGTTTATAATCAACATTTTACAAGTGCAAACTACATCAGGTTGTCTGTTTAGACTCTTTATAGTGAATTTCTCAATAATAGTGAATCTTTTAGATAATAGTGAAAGTACCAGAGTTGTTTTGATATGTTTATTGCTCTGTTTGTATGTCTGATTCCGCATATTTAGGCTCAAGCCATAACGAACTCTTTCTTTCTGATATTTTCAGGTGAGCTGCTGTTTTCTAGTCAATCTTTTAATTGAAACTATTTTGAGGGAATATATAGCAACCCCTAATATGTATGTTCTTGGTGTATGTGGACACTTAAGTCACACTTAAAATGTCATTGAATTAGGTTAAAAATATCACAGCAAGTGTCATCTAATCAAATGCTACACAAGACTTCTAATTGACTGGTGTTTTGGTGAGTTTTAATAACTGTATAAAGTCAGGGTTTTTTTCAGAGTAAACACAGAGTCAATCTTTTGTCATGCGTTGAAGAAGTACACTTATTTTCACGTGCTGACTAACATACTAAAGCACGTGAACAAGTATTGAATTAAAATATTTAAATATTTTAATTAAATATTTGTTTTAATTGTAACCATCATTACAAATGTGTAATTACAAATATATTTTAAAATACATGAGATACATGTTTTTTCTTTAAATATTAGTTTACCATAAATGCTCAGTCGGTACAGTTCAGCAGTACACTTAACCATATTTCAAAGATAATAGAAGTAATAAAGAAATCACGGGAACACTTTAGTTTAGGAACCCATTATCACTATCAACCAGTTGCTTATTAGCATGCATATTATTAACATATCATCTGTTTATTAGTACTTATAAAGCACTTATTCTGCATGACTATATTCTACGTCCCTAATCCTAACCAATATCTAAACTTAACAACTACCTTACTAACTATTAATAAGCAGTAATTAGGAGTTTATTAAGGCAAAAGTTGTAGTTAATAGTTTGTTAATAGTGAGAATTGGACCTTAAAATAAAGTGTGACCGAAAGTCATACTTAAGTGGGTCATAAAAAGCACTCTCATGCATAAAATAAAATATACTCTTAATATAAATTTAAACTAGAATACATTTTCATAAAAAAACATGCAGTTATGTGTTTTAAAATATATATAAGTATATTATTTTTTAACACTAAGTAGCTACTCTCTTTTTTTTTAAGTATACCAAAAGTGTACTTCTTTTTCACAAGGGAATACTTTTTTTTTTAGCCATATTATCATTTCAAACCTGAATGTTTGCTTGAAAATGTGCTTTCCTTTCTTTAAAATAAACAATACTTGCTTTGATATTTTGTGTGTA